CACAAGATTCACATTGCGCCTCACATGATCACTGTCATGGAAGTGTGTAATTAACGGTAAATGTTTTCGTATTTCGGTAATCATATTGGTTGTTCTCAAATCACAGGTGGTGTGGAGGTGCGGAGAGTTTTGTATTTATTTATCGTGGTACGCGCTATCTTTCGCATATCATGGTATCATTTAAACGACATTGTTTTCTCTACTGCATCTATATGAGTCTTTCATCAGTTGCTTAGGCAGATAAATATATGTGTGGGTTCGTACGCTTTATTCTCTTAGCATTTACTCATGTGAGTAAATAACTGCATGACTAAAGAAAACGATCCAAGTGCACTTGTGTCTGATTCTTTGAGCAAACGAAATCGTCATATAGGTATTGCGGTGTAGCTCCCTGCTTCCCTCGCTCCCCCCCCCCACCGTTAATTGTGCAATATATATATATATATATATATAATGTGTGTGTGTGTGTGTGGTGTGTGTGTGTGTGTGTGTGTGTGTGTGTGTGTGTGTGTGTGTGTGTGTGTGTGTGTGTGTGTGGTGTGTGTGTGTGTGTGTGTGTGTGTGTGTGTGTGTGTGTGTGTGTGGTGTGTGTGTGTGTGTGTGTGTGTGTGTGTGTGTGTGTGTGTGTGTGTGTGTGTGTGTGTGTGTGTGTGGTGTGTGTGTGTGTGTGTGTGTGTGTGTGTGTGTGTGTGTGTGTGTGTGTGTGTGTGTGTGTGTGTGTGTGTGTGTGTGTGTGTGTGTGTTGTGGTGTGTGTGTGTGTGGAGAGATAAAGAGAGAGAGAGAGAGAGAGAAATATATCACGTAAATATTTTATCTAATAATTCTGTCCTTCATACCGTCTTTTATTTGCTTTGCCACCACGGTGATCACTGCTTTGGGGTCACTGGGGCATAAAGCAATAGGATCTGCTTGAACATGAGACACGTCCTTGCTGCAATTCAGATAAGTGCACGAGAGGTGAAATGCGAACGTTAGACTCATTTGAGCGCAGTGCTTCACACGAAATGTAGCGCTTTTGTGCATCCGTCACTGGGCAGCTATATTCGCCTGTACTTGTCCTTCGGACGAAATTCGTTCGGTTATAGCGACATCATCCCGTCACTTTAGCACTCGGTCACTAGATGCTGCATGTAGATGCTCTTTCTTCGCACCTCAATTTTCCGTACTATGTGCGTGCTAGTCAAGGCAAGAAGTATGTACAACTGCTCGTAACGTCGATAGGGCAATATTTAGTTCATAAGAAACAGAGGCACAGACATTGGTGGGTCCAATCTGCCATTCAAGAAAGCAGCAGCGCGGGCTCCCTTCCCGATAGGCGAAAGCTCGCGAGGCGCTTCTTTACATCGGATACTTTCATCCTGGTGATGATGGTTTTCCCGGTTCTTATTAAATTTCTGCCAAAAAGGGCAACGAACAGCCCAGGAAAACGAAGGTGGCTTCCACCGTCATACTCCGGAGCCATGAAACACTACCGGCCCGAAGCGAAATCTTGCAATACAGAGCTTTGCTTAAGGAGACAGTCCATATTTCCATAGTAATGGTAAATTTTTCTCCATTTTTCCCTATTCGAACGACTCTTTGCACTCTTCTCCTCACTCTGAAGTAGAACACCCCCCCCCCCCCCCCCCCGCCTTCCACACCGCACCGCTGCTGATCCAATGAGCCCCACGCCGGTGCCGGTTACACGCTGCCGTCGGAGTTGAGAACACCGGCGCGCCTAGGCCGACAATTTGGTAACGGCGCACAGGTGTACCTTTGGAGTAACCAAAAATAGTTTTGACGAAAAGTTCTAGTCTCAGATACCATATGTAATTATTGTAATAGATACCCAATGGCAAGATATCTTCGGCGTCCAAATCTCGCAATAAACACTTCACCGCTCTCTGATAGGTAGGTTAGTGCCAGGAAAGGCCACTTCGCACTACAGCATAGCCAGACAAACGAGCGTGCGTCCCACACATTGAAACAACGTGCAAGACGCTTCCCACACGAACGTGCTCATTGATAAAGTGAAGTGCTTCGATATAATCAAGTACTCTTCAACTGTGCTTGTAAATAACTATGTTTAACTGCAAGCGCACTTTTTTGTATGTGGGGAATTTAGAAAGTGTAGAGGCCGTCACAAAGTGTACCCAGCCTTGAAACGGTGGAACTGGGCAGTTCTGAAGCCGCGTTTAGGTTGCTTCTAGGTCTTTGCTGTGTGATACAGGTTGTTTCTTGTTTGCTTCTAGGTTGTAGCCAGCTGATATCAGGTTGTTTGATTGAGTGTTTATTCTCAGCGCAAAGAAGTTCGAGTCTGAGTACAGACGGTCACAGACACGAAGTGGACATCCAAGCTCTACACACAGAAACCCACGCTGAAACCATGTGTTCGCACCTCTGCACTCTGGTGTGCGCCGTCGTTAGCGGAAGCGTTTCACTTCAGTGACCAGTGGCGAGTAGTGGCCTTTCGGCTCACCGGCGTCGCTTCGCAGATATTTTTTCAAAGTGGAATTTACGCAATTTCTATGGCATTTACAAGTTTATGAAGAGACAGTTTATGGTAGGTCTCAAAGCCATGTACCTGCTTTTCGTATTCCGCAATTATCAGTTCTAGCTGAAGCATATTCGCTGTTATTAAACAAGAAAAGAAAAGAAGCTGTAAAAATTGCCTTCTACACGTAGGCAGTGCTCGTAAGAGAGTAAATTTATGCAGTAGTTGCTATCTGCATGGCTCCAAGCGCGACTAGAATTCTGTCGTTTCGAGGCCGACATCACATCACTGCAAATGTTGCAAGGAAAACAAACTTTGTGCCATCATGTACCAGGCTTCAAGTATGCCGAGTCAAGTGGCATAGATGGCACCTGAGAGAGCGAATCGGTGGTTGTCATCTGACAGTCAGCCAATATGTTTTGCTGCGGCTACATCGCACCTTATTCCAATCGTATGCATTGAGGCACTAGAAACACAGCATGAGGTTTAACTACCCAAGTTGTTGTTTTAAGGTGATGTTTTGCGTCCAAGAACTACCATATGACACACCTTGTGTTGTTTTTGATGAGTACTGACATCGCACACGTGAACGACATTTCACCTTCATAGAAAAACGACTACTGTGGCAAGGATCCAACCCGCAAGCTTTTGGTCAACAGCCGAGGTGTTACCGAAAATTCCGGTGGTGAAAGAAACCTAAATAATTAGCCAAGCTTGCACACAGCCCTAAACCACGCAAACATGCAAACAGTGAAATTTGATGATTCTGAAGACTGATCTGGTTGCTTCTGGGTTTTTTGTAGGACTTACCCATGTCTTCAGGGTTGTCCCTAAGTTGCTTCGAGATCGCTGTAGCTAGTCAGGTTTTGCTGCATATTTTTATGGTTGATTGTGAGCACAAAAAGCTTAGACATATACCAAGCACGATCACAGACAAGACTCGGATATCTGAACTGCAGACAAACTCGCACTGGAACGAAGCATTCGCGCCACTCCTACAGTTCTCCAAGGCAAACTCGTGTTAAAACAAAGCGTTGCGTGGTGGTAGCGTATGCTGGCGGACCAAATCAGAGCCGCTCTGCACGTGCCGGTCTGCAGAGGTGCTTGGCCTCTCCGTTGGCTTCCCACTGTCTACCTTATCAAAAGTAGCTTAAGTTGGCGAGTACACTTGATAAAAGAAATACGCGGTTACTGAGCAAATCTAATGATAGACACGTGCGTGAAGCTGCAGAAAATAAAACGAAAACGGACATGTTCAAGGCGCCTGCAGGAACACACGCATGTGATTCTGTCGGTGGTTCTGTCAGTGTTGTTGCCATTCTTGCCTATATGCGCACTCCTCGAACCTAGCACTAGAGAGCTTCACTGTCAAAGTGAAAAGGAAATTCCAGTACGAGGCTAATCTCACCGTTTCGATGTATCTCAGTCGGCAAGACACCTCGCTTCAAACGCATTATATTTGTAACAATAAACAAAAAAGAAGTAGAAAATTTACATAAATACGCTAAGATAACAAAAAATGTCACAGCTTTGCCACGAAGGCGAAGCAATAAACGCGATAGCAACTATTTGAAAGGTCTTGCGCAGAATGGAAAGCAGATCGAAACGTGCCCCGCGTTTCTCGCGCACAAATTACGCACGTAACGTACTCACAGGCACAGACGCACGCGAATAAGCATCTCAATTGTCACTTCGCTAAGTCTGAAAAGCGCGCGCTTTTCATGAACGGAAACTGCAATGATTGCAGTTACCTTTGTGCGTCCGGTAACTAAAGCAAAAATTGTTTCACGTAAAGCCCGAGGCCAGCCAAGGCGCACGATCCTCCCCTCCTCGCCAACGCGAGATAAAGGCGCACGAGTAGCATAGCTCCCCTTCTCTAAGCCGGGCAAACTACGTGTAGGAGATTTAGAGCGGGCGCCGCTACGTGTGCAGCGAAGTGCGCTAATCTCGCCATCTTTCTGGTAATGCCGAAAACACAGCAGCGGTAAGTGATAGATATATATAGCTTGCCGTTTGAACGCTAAAGAACGTTCTCGTGGGTGACACATTGCTTTCATGACGCAGAGGTCCCACACTCAATTCCGCGTGCCGGGGTGATTTTTTTTTTCTGGATTTTTTGCTGTCTTGCGTTTTTACAAATGTAGATACGTATACATATACGGTGCATGACATTGACGCCGACGCCGGTGGCAAAATTGATCCCAGAGTGTTCATATAATTGCTATCGCAATAAAAAATAATAAAGGCAAGCACTGTCACTCGAATTGAGAGGGGGAACCATTTCAGCTCCGCATCGTCCTACGCACAGCTGCAGAAACTGCTGCGTGCGCATAGTTCCATCGCACTCCCCGACACTGGCAAGGCTGCTACCAAGGTCACGTAGCTGGCGGTGAAAGCCGCTTCCGCCGACCGAGCCAATGGAGGCTGTCGGCTGTACAAGTTTGTGGGCATGTCGAAGGCCATGGCAGGAGCAGACACTTTGCCGCCAGCAGCTAAGCTCAATAGGAATTGCCAGAGTTGACAGCGGAGGCCCAGGATGAACAGTAGCAGCTCCGCTACTCCAGGGAGACCGTCCTCATTGAGTAAATCGGCTGGCCTCGCGATAACTCTGTAAGCACAAGAAATATGTACAGTAAGCGTCAAAAGTGTATGGACCATGAGACACGAAATAAAGCTGAATATTCCAGGTACATCGGCTTGCAGCCTTGAATTAGACAGATTATTATTATTATTATTATTATTATTATTATTATTATTATTATTATTATTATTATTATTATTATTATTATTATTATTATTATTATTATTATTATTACCGCCGTGCGAAGCCGGTCAGAGCTACGCAAGGGTGCTTAACCTTCCGTACTCCCCGCCGACCAACACATCTTTGAGTTGAGAAGCTTCCTTCTCTTGAGTGCGCACTTTCTTAGGACACCCCCTAACTTTCTGAACACGATCGGGAGCGGATTTTGCGCGCGATGTTTCTGTCGGTGCCCGTGGCTTGTTCTCCTTCCTCTGGCTCGCTCTTTTTATTGCGAAGCCGCTGTCCCACACCATGTATGTATACATATTAATATATATGAAAACTCAAGAAAGAAAACAATCCGCCAGAACTCAGATGCCAGCTATTCGCGATGCACCAACACGCGCTTGTCTCCCACGCGTACTTTGCCCCGTGGAAGGCAGCGGTGGGGTTAGGTGCTTGTGTGGTGCGCTTATTCTGCGGTGGGGATAATCGTGTGCCTACTTCTTTCACCAATACGATTGAGTTAGTTGCCTGGGCCACAAAGGTGACCTCGCTCACTGGGCAGGCCCCGTTTGCGGAAATGGTGTGATTTTCAAACACAGCGAAGTAACAACTGGGACACTCGTTTGTTCGCTCTTATATCTGTACCTGTGATTACGCTTCGTGCATCGTTTTTCTTTAAACAGTGCAATTAGCGTCAACCTGTAAACGTTGTTAGTTCGACTCCGTCCTGCGTGTGTTGTTTTCGTGCCTCATTTGAGCGTGAGCAGTGCGCTGCACGTTTTGATCTGCTAGCCGTTCTCAGCGACGTTATAATTTGTTGCAATCGCATTCATTGGTACGCCTTTCTGGCAAACTATGACATTTTTATGCATTTTTTCTGCCTGTACATATTTCAGCTTTACTTTCTCTTCTCCCCTCCTTTCTATCCTCTTCACGCTAATTTCCCTGTCCGATCCCCTTGCTGTACTCCACTACACAAGGCTATTAGTTGTTCTGCTAACGACCTTGGATAGCGGAGACGTTAGCACGCTCGCCTTCGGGTGGACAATACGCGGGTTCGAGTAACAACTTCTGAAGAGTTTTTCCAGCAAAACTTCAATTTTCTTCCTATTCTTCTTCGTTTTTCTCTTTCTTCGTAGTACTATCACATATCAGGGTCATCGCTGGCCACGTCGTAGCTGTGAGTAGCGGGACTTGCCCAAACCTTGTACCACATAACAGTCTAGGATGACGACAGTGGCAGTGTCGACACTTTACGGCTGGCTTCAACGGCTTTGCTGTCCAAAAACACGCAAAAATATGTACTGCCCAGTTCGAACGAATGGAGGATGGAATCTTGGCAGAAGTTTTCTAAGACCTCGTTATGTCTAAACTTTGACGCCAACAGCACAATCGAATTGAAACAAACGCCTTAATGCCGAACTAAAATGGAAACATAAGAAGCTGACTGCAACATCAGATAACCAAATACGGTAGTTACGAAGCGCGCCTTCTTTACATGTTTATTGCCAATTGGCAAGAATGTATATTATAGTGGGTATGGCCAGTGAGTTCCACTAACATATCATTAGGATCAGTGGACAACACCTAGTTATCTATGTGCTGGCATAATACTCTAGAGCTCTTTGCATTAGATGAGGTCTAGATGAAGTATCATATTCCGAAAGTTCACCACTCACAAAACGGGCACTTGTAGCTTCAGTAAAAACATTGAAAACAAAAGACGACCAGCTTACTCGGTTTGCTCAGCGTAGTTAGTGGCTCAATATGCACTTTCTTTTTCAATGCACAGACAGTCAGGTAAATTGAGCAATGAATAATAAACAGCACGTGCTGGGATATCTTGAAAGGATTCCGGACATGTGAGCAAGATTAATGACGTCCCACAGCTCTGGCTTGGCCTTTCCAATGCAGCTTAAAATTTACGCCTGATACCCTTTTTTACCAAAAGAAGAAAATGCCGCTTCAGAACGACAACGTTTACCAGAGATTCGAAACTAGGCATGTCTAGTCAAAAGTTTTTTTGGAAGCATTTAGATATTTGGGTATCTTCTAGGACACTAGCCTAGCCAGAATGCGGGGCTTGGAAGACAGGATATCCAAACACACACTCCCCTAAAATATATACTCAGCTGTTTAACCTAGAGTTTGGGCGCTGGAATATTAAAATAATCTGGGTCTAACGCCCCAAAACTACATTATGATTATGAGAGACGCTGTAGTGGAGGGATCTGAAACTCTGGACAATCTGGGTTCCATCAAAATCTAATTTAACGGGCATCAAGCATTCTCATTTCATAGAAATACGGCAGCTGCAGCCGGGATTCGATCACGCGACCTGCGGAAAAGCTGTCGAGGGCACTGTATTGTTCTCAAAATCTGCTCCTAGATATGACGTCACTGAGCGTTGCTTAGAAATCACTTGACAGGGCTGCGCCTTTAATTTCACCGAGTTCGTCAGGTAGCAACGCGTCGTAGGAAGTAAGAAATGAAGAGAGAAGGCGAGAGAAGAAAAGTGGAGAGATGCGGGTGGATATGCAGGACCGCCGAAAATCTAGGCAAAACTTCGGATGAGCTCGGGATATTCCGAGTTCCGATGACACATCTTTGAATGAGCAAACAGTACGAAAAAGTGAAATCCCTCCGAGCACTGCATTTAATTGGTTACGATGGAACCCGGAGTTATGTCAAGATCGGTCCAGAAAGTTAGGCGTGTTTTTTGAACCAGAAGCCTTTTCTTTTATTTGCTTCGTTACACTGAGTGCCGAAGTGCACCAGTGTAATGGAAGAGCCAGAAAGCTTTTGTGATGATATTTTTAGAAGCATGGGGCGTTTGGATTTATTTTAAAGCTTTCATTGCCTGCAATAGGTTGGTTTTGAACGATCGGCGCGGTGGCCTCGGAGATTGGTTCCGGCCGAGTGTCTTACATCATCACCGCCGCAGCTACACCCACAGCCACGAGTTAATCTCCATGGCCGGCTTGTACATTCTAGCGCGCTGCTAGGACTGCGTGCGCCCTGTTCGTAGTCTTCATTGTCTGCGAGCACCCGAGCACGTGCGCCCGGCTAATTTGCTATTTGCCCGGACACTATACCTAACTAGCAAGCTCAGGACGTGCTTACATTGCTAATGAAGCAATGCAAGTTGGACCGGGCTAACCAAAGCATGTCAGTTGAGTAGCTAACTGAGCGATACTAATTAACGCGACAGTAATTGTGAGCATGGTACGTAAACAAAGGTAATTAGCCTTTACTAATATGATCATTGTTATGTTCTTGCTAATATTGATTACGTTTATAGCTTCATACGGATGAAGGCTTGCCAATTGTGCCCGCGATATTTACCTTTTATTTGAAACCCTAATAATGAAGACAAAACATTTCAGTGTAATGGTGAATAAACCTTAGCAAATAGTATAACAAAAATTAAGATGGAGCTGATGCTGTCATAACTTCGAAGCAGACCAAGCGGATGAGTGGACGACCAAGCGAATAAGATGGAAGATGCTAGGTTATCACAAGCTCCTCTATGCCTCCAGCCATGCACATGTAGTGCGACCTGGCCAAGTTATTTATATGCAAAGAAGCTGCCGCTTAGCGCTCACCGTCTCAAAAGCTTAACAGTCATAATGGCACCATGACACTCACGAGTAGAACTTTGGCCTTCTCAGAATCGGTGAATTTTTATAAGACCTGAAGCGTCAATCAGCCTGATTGACAGACGCCTGCGGCGAAGACCTACTACGCCCACCACACTTTCTCTTGCTGAGGAGCAGTACTCACGTGGAGCGACACGATAAATCTATGAGCTCTATCGCGCAGACTATGCACACAGATACGCCGAAATAAGAGCGATACCATAACCTGGCTACGATGTCGCACATTCAATTTCACCGCACTCACGACGTATTCACTCACAGCCGCCTTGACGCCATGATGCGAGCGCCCTGGTGATCATCTGTCGCTATATTTACCTTCCATATTTGATAGCAGCGACAAGAGCAGTGCGAGAGTACTGCGTGTGCACCCTTGCTGCCTTCGAGAGTGGAAATTTTCATGCTGCAGGTTGTACGAAAAAAACTGCGCAAAAAAGGGGCAAACACCCACGAGCACGTCTGTGGCAGGCGCATGTTGAGTTGACGAAAAGATAGCCTGACAATCACGCTGACGTCCCTGCAGTGTAGAAATGTTGACTGAATGGCTGTGATGACGTGCTCCCACACGCTGTTTCTTTGATAACAGCCTCGAATCTCCTACATCTGTCTGCAACGCCTGGCGCGGTTTGTGCATTCATATTGATGAACGTTGCTATCACGCGCTCTGCCCTGTCATCATGCTATGCCAGCCGTAGAACAAGCTAGGAGAAAGCTCGTCTGCCCTAGAAGCTCGGCTCCTCGTGCATAGCACCCCCGGAGGCAACCATCGTAATTGCGCGGCAATCCAGGCATGCTAGCCAAACAAGCCTTTTTTGCAAATATACGATTGCATTGTTATAAGCGAGAAAACGAGAAAAAACAAATCAACGAGCAAGAAGCAAATTATTCAGAGAACAAAAGAGATGCAAATAAACACAGAGAGAGAAAAAGAAACAAGATAATAAAGCATTGAGTTTGGAAAGAGAACAGAGGGTGACAATGAGAAATTGAGAAATGGAGAGACAACACTTTTTCTAAGCTTGTAGACTTTAGGCACGAAGAGCCGACGTTCACGTTGAAGCGATTGAGAATATTGTGCATCTACTTGACACTGGCCTAGCCAGGATGATGGGCTTGGCAGGAAACATATTCAGACCACTACCCATGAAATTTACACCGAGCTGTTTAGGTTGGATGTTGGGCGCTGGTTTTATAATAATATCTTGTGTGTAACGCCCCAAAACCATATGAATTTGAGAGGACGCTGTAGTGGAGGGCTTCGGAACTTCTGACTATCCGAGTTGCGCCTCAACCAAGTACACAGACCTGGAGCAATTTCGCCTCCATGAAAAATGTAGCCACTGCAGCTGGATTCGATCCCATGACCTGCACGACAGCAGTCGCTGGCACTAGATAGCGCGCAGAAACTACTATATTGAACCTCATTGCTTGCCTGGCAAGCACATGGCAGGGCGGCGCCAACAACTTCAGTGAGTTCGCAGGCTAGCAGCGTGCCTAAGGAAGAAAGGAATGAAGACAGGAGAGGAGGAAACAAAAGTGGAGAGCTCCGAAGGTCGTAACCACGCGGCAATCGAGGACTGCTAGCCAAACAAGCCTTTATGGGAAGCATGCGATTGCGTTACTATGAGCGAAAGAATGACAAAATCGAAACAAGGAGCAATAAAGAAAATCAAAGAAAGAGATAGATATAGAGAAAGAAGCAAGCGGGATAATATAGTAAGGACGATGTAAAGAGAAGTGAAGGTCAGGATGAGGGAACTGAGGAATAAAGAGAGTTAAGCTAACAAATACCACGTACACTACAAAGCAGCAAGGGAGCGGGATAGGGAAGACGGAAATGGTGGTGTCAGGTCGAGGAGCAAAGAATCGAGGAAGAAAAGGCTGCGATTTCTGCTTTTTCTGCAGCCTAGGCACCAGTTGCGCGTAGCAGCTCTAGATTCCTTTCGAGTTTCGCATGTGTGTCACGCACGAGCATATATTATGTATGGTTGAACCCTACCTCCACAGGAGTGCAGTGTTGCCAACCAATCTTTGGAAATTATACCACGTCACAGCCCAAATTACCATCCCTTATCCGACACCTCGCTAACCTCCCTGTCCTTCCTCATTTATTCCTCCTCCTTATCCGACACAAACTTTACTACCATGCATTTTACCCTACGCCTATAATAGGTGCAGTAGACAATAAAAACATGCAGACTACATTTCATACACTGAACCATACGCACGTGTTCTGGCGCTGAAGTCGGTAGCTCTTTTGAAAGTTCGGTCGAAAAATATTTTGAAGAGTAAGCAAAAACACGAAAGGCAGACGACAAAAACACACGGCCTTTCGATAATTGCAGAGGAAAGGATTCACTCGCACTTTAAAAAAACTAGGGCACTCGTCTCCAAGCATATTGCAGGCACTGTAAGTGATATGTTAACAAAGACCAATTATCAAAATGTCAAGATGGCCGTAAAGATGTAATAATAGCACTGATGTGAAGAAACGGGTATGTGTAACCACAAAACGGGTAAAGACGAAAATAAGCAAGGCAACTCTTCCCAATCACTCAACAGAATGCGCTCTGCTGTTTGAAGCGACTGCTGGTTGTTTTAGTTGAATAGTTATAAGCGATATTCAGTGAAGATTAGAAATGCACATGCGCCGTGATGGTGAGGACTTGGCTGAACATGTTTAGCTGAATGCTCAGACATCCAACTGGGTGCATGTTTCCCCACTAGCCTACATAACCTTTGAGTTATGGCGACAGCATTGTAAAGGTAGAAAGGTCGGTGATGGATGTACATAAATTACGAGTTGCGGGATTTATTGCGAAAAAGCAGGCAGGTAGCAAGAAAAAGAGTTACGCTAAAGTTAACATGCGCTGAGGCAAAGAAAACTGGGTTGTCAATTTTCAAGCCTATTTTATAGAGTATGAATGTTAATTCGTCCCGACAATACTATGCCGTAAGAAAACAACGATGATAGTAAAAGTATTGTATTAGTAAATTAGTATTATTGATGAGAAGAAGAAAAAGAAGAAAAAAACAACAAAATATTGAACTCTTCAGCTTATTGCAGTGTTGGTCACCACCTCGTCACGAAGGGACGTCACTTCAAGGAGCCCGCCGCAGGTGCAGGGAAGCCAAGGACGCTTAGACTGACCGTGGGTGGGTAACTCTAGGCGTTTAAAGATTTACATTCTCTTTAAATATCTGAAGCATAGTATCATAACTACACGTTAGAGGACGGGCGTACACAGCGCCACAGGTGTTGGACTTCAAATTAATGGGCATGAAATTTACAGTTAGACTTGTCCGTAGTATGAACAGTGGTCCACGAAAATTTGTTTATTCATATTTATTCTTATTTTTTTACCTATGTATACCCTACTTTCATAAATATAAAATCTGGATTATATATTGTCGCTTCATTTCAACTTTCAATTGACTTCAGGCGATGCGCTGAGTAGTGCAGGAGGCACCGAGCTACAGCAGGGCAATAACACCGACACAATGGATCCCACCAATATCCTGGCTGCCTTGGATCACTTGACGACGAAGCATTGCAGATCTAGCCACTGTCTTTCGGTTGGCAAAGTAGTCTTGGATGGCCTGCAGTTATGTACAGCACAAGTTTCAGTCCCGTGGCCCAGAGAATTGATAGTCGATGCAAAAACATCGACTAAGAAGGATGCTATTAAGAAGCGAGAACCCGCATGTACTCCGTTCTGCAGAGAAAAGTGTGCTTAAAGACATTAAACAAGGGCCAGCCTTAGAAGCGCCACTTGTGTCGCACTTTCAATTATATGGCACGAAATTTACAATTGGACTTGTCTGTAATTTGAACAGTGGTCTACGAAAATTTGTTTATTTACATTTATTTATATTTCTCTTCCCTATGCATAACCTGAATTTTAAATATAAAATCCTTATGATATATGTAACTTCATGTAAACTTTAAATTGATCACACTATTTCACCTCAGCATTATACGCCAATGTATATTTTTTTAAAGTCAAATGTAACGCTAATGTAACGACTCATTGCATCTTTGGTAATGTAACCATAACGAGTTACTTTTGCATTTAAAGAACATTTAGCGGGAACAAGTTTCTTGATGGGGAAGAAACTAGGAATGAACTTTCGTACTGTTTTGGAGGAACGTGTACAAGGCTGGCTATGACTAGACGAAGGCAAAAACCAGCTCAATTTCTTCTCTACCGACTGCATTTATCACCTCACCGTCCAACGAATGACGTCTTAAATTTCACGTCTGTCCTATGCTGGTGACATTTCCAATTGTATTCATAAAAGGCAGATACCACGAATAGTAATAATTAAAGATATGCAAAGCACGAATGAGGAAGATTGATTGTAAGTCATGCATGCCATACATGCATGACTTCTATGCCATGATTATCATGTTTGCGCCTTGCATTTGTGTTCGTCGTTCATTCAAGTCACCTCATACCAAATTTTATATTAGTGAACCTAGTGAAACAGCTGTGAACACACTATGAGCCTAGCATGTAATCATGTTTTACATGACGCGCATGTCTTGATTATTATGTTAAGACATTTCATTGACCTTCGTCGTGTATACACGTCAGACATTACCAAATTTGGTATATGTGAGGGTAGAAATACGGCCGCGATCACACTATGAGCGTAGCAGGTAGACATGTTTTACATGACACGCCTGTTAAGATGATCATGTTTGGACATGTATTTAAGTTTGTCTTCCATTCACGTCACATAATACTAGATTTGGTATAAATGGAGCTAGCGAAAAGGCCGCGAGCGCACGATGAGCGTGACGTGAATGCATGGTCAGGGCCTGCCACTTATATTCATCATGCAGTCATGTGTTACCATACCAGCTTTTTCAATATGCCATGTGATAGAAACCACCGCAAGAGCAGCAATACTATGACATGTAAATAATGACATAGACATCATTATTTACATGTTATAACAAGTCACTTGTACTCGTCATACAGTCATGGCATTTCAATATCAAATTTGGTATAGATCTCATCGAAATGACCAGGAGAGCTAGGAGTTGTAGGTAGGTAGGTAGGTAGGTAGGTAGGTAGGTAGGTAGGTAGGTAGGTAGGTAGGTAGGTAGGTAGGTAGGTAGGTAGGTAGGTGGGTAGGTGGGTGGGTGGGTGGGTGGGTGGGTGGGGGATGGGTGGGGGGTGGGTGGGTGGGTAGGTAGGTAGGTAGGTAGGTAGGTAGGTAGGTAGGTAGGTAGGTAGGTAGGTAGGTAGTAGGTAGGTAGGTAGGTAGGTAGGTAGGTAGGTGGGAAACGGAGAGGTTGGTAGAGAGGTAGGTAGTAGGTAGGTAGTAGGTAGGATTGTTGGTAGGTAGGAGTGTAGTATTATATGACGTAAGGCTAGCAGCTAACTCTTCCGGATCCAATCCCGTGCAACTCGACAAAACCCCGGTATAGGCAAATGTAGAACTGTTCTTTGTGATGTCTGTGATCTGAACATGAAATAAGCAATGGGAGCGAAGCACGTATACGAGCTGTCTGCTTATGTCTGCTAAGAAGTGATGTCAACTGCGAAGACAGCATGTACACTAGCTCTCACAATTGTGCCCTTGTGATTAAGGTTCGCAGTTGCTGCTTGAGCAATGCGAACAATTTGCACCTCACACACAACATGGCCGCGATGGTAAAATCCCTGTGAAAATGCCCATATATTTGTAATCGCATTAAAACGCAGAAAACATGGGCACACACCTGCTCAGACTGAATGATGTCCGGGCTGATGACGCCTCCCGGTGGCTGCGTCAGGAGCTTGTCCCAGCCCTTGACCGTCTCGGCATTACAAGGCCCGTCCTCAACCTCGCCATAGTCGAGTCGCAAACGCTTGCTGCTCCATTCATCCTGGCTCTCTGGAAATCAAACCACTTCTCAAAACACTGCAGTGAGCAGGTGCACAAATGTTAGCCGGCATATCTCATGGTGCGCTTGCAAATTTTCGGTAAGAAGATGCAACCACCGCTCAATAGGGTGTACAAGTGAAGATAACAGTATGGTGAATTCTGAAACAGAAACATCTCTATTGGATTCGAGAATAGTAGTGTCAATTAGAAGTGAAATTCAGAAAGCAAACACTGCTAAGTGTGGGAGTTAAAATTTTAAATACAATGCACTCCTTTTAATCACAACCTGAAGAAGGGACCAGGAAAATATGTTCTGTTTAAAGGGCCACTCACCAGGCCCCATTCAAAACTTTAGTTAGACAAAGGAAGTTGTTGGGTGTCCGATGAGGAACATTTTGCCACAGAAATTTTTCAATCGTTTCGTCACGAGTGGAGAACACGGGTTTTCTCAAGCGGCGCGAAACGAGGATGACAGGAAGCGAGCTCGAAACCCTTGCCGCTCCTCCATGTAGCCTTCGCAAGCCTAATATCTTCCCCACTTCCTCAGGCATAGGACAAGAGGTCACTTGCGCATGACGTGCCCAAACAAGTCCAACCCCCGAGCACACGAGCTGCGTTGCTTTGTTAACCAGCGTTATTTGTGGCCTTGTGCCTGTTTCTGCAGGATTCTTTACAAACGCTGGCTTAGTGCGTGGTAGAATAGATGAGCACAATCAGTGCGCGAACGCGTAGGAGCATTACACAGCTGTCAACTCGATGCGCTGACCGCGGAACCACTGGGACACGAACGCATGCGAAACGCCAGCACATTAGCCCCCCATCTCACTGCAATTCACGGGGGAAAAATGAGAAAAAAGGAACGCTCACAGTCACTTATTGCGTTTCAATATTTATCTAGAGCTTTATTATACTCTTCAAGCAATAAATTACATAAACTACGCATTCCGTGTTAAATAATTTTTACCATGTTACGTGCCACTGTTTGCAATGTCAGAGCAGAGCCGTCTACGTAGAGCATAGAGTTTCTCAATATACACTAGAGGGAACTCTGGCGATAGTGTCTATGGGAGCTGCAACACACGGTGCTTCTGTGAGCATTGGAATGATGGGTAGTACACACATTTGTCTAATATTCGTACTTCTGGCCTGCTTCTGGCTCCGTGTGTGTTTGTGTGGCTTGAAGTTGTTTTATCACGAAACAAATATTAGCAAATAATCAGCGGTTGTTCTTCACCATTTTATTTTTTTAGACGTACCTTTCCAAATCAGGTGATGAAGTTCAAAATAGTTGAATCTTTCTTTCGAAACAAAACCGAAAAACAGCAATAAACGAAGCCGCAAGTATGATTCGCCATCCTCAAGGACGAAGACTAGGCAAATGTGTGTACTACCCATCATTCCCATGGTCGCTGAACTATCGCAGCACCAGAGTGCCCTCTAGTTAATTTTGTGAAACTGTGTGACGTAGAGGACCAACGTCACTACATCGCCTGTACGTAGGGCTATTCATACGCCCACGTCATGCCCTCATTCTCTAGGCGCGCGCTGCCTGGAGGAAGGGAGAGCAACGTTCATCTTGAAATTTGACCCATATCCACGGCGTGTAGCGTTGCGAGATTTGGCAGACATGATCATGAACGCCTCTTCTACGCATTGCGCTTGTCAGCTTAAAATTTTCAAACCTGGTCAGTGGCCCTTTAACAGGAGCTCCATTTACTAAGAGGTGAACAGGAAAGCAGTATATAGACATGAAAAGAACCATTTTAACTTGTGCTTAGAAATACAATGAACGCATCGGTATATACAGCTGCAGGCTATTAAATCTTATCGTGCTGCTCATATTACTCTGCTTTTGACAAACATGTCCCCACACATTCAAGAGAAAATATTAACACTTCCAGTAATTACAAAACTCACTACAAAACCTTGTTAAATTGAATGCTGTGCAATTCTACTATAAGTAATTAGTACATTCCTTGGAAGTCACTCACTTTATGAGAGGCCTACTCTGCAGACAAAGAAACAGTGCACCTTGAAGCTGCCTCTCCTCCTTCTCCATGCGGGTAAGCAGCACCTGCTCCTGTATGGCCTTGCGCCACAGAGAGCGATGTTCGTGCCGCGTCCGAAAAACACAAGGCCAGGGGTGAGTGGCCACCTTCCTGGATCCTCCGAACAATCAAAACTCGCAAATAAGGTACAGTGCAACCAGATTACATATCAAACTATTTGTAACATGACAATGCTTCAGAATGGTTTCATAGATAGTTTTATGGCTACGACATCGAAGAAACAAAACCAAAAACACAAGATATATCCAACATGAGGCACTGTGATACGTCCTAAGATGTTGGCTTTACCACAAAGAGTTCACGTTTCTTCACAAAAAGGGACTTCCTCACGTGCATTTCAGAGAACAGTGTTATTATAAGGGTGTACGCAGAGCAAGCAGAAACAATCGTTAGCCACTGCATGCTTCCTCCCATAATTCCTTGTCTTTACAGCCATTGCGCAAGGTTGACGTTCGCTCCTCTACTCCCTTGTTCACAAAATGGCTGCCATAAATTTAAGAACCTTGCTGTAGGCAAACCTTACACTAATCAAACAGTTATACATAGAGGAACGTAGACTGGCGTCGCCTCAGCGTACAGCATCCCAAGAAGCAGTACCGCAAAGTCAACAGGCACACAGAACTTTGCACCAAAAATACTGTTTAATTAAAAAGCCTGATGCAAATATATGATATATTAAACTTATTTTTATTTTTTAGCAAGTTTCATATATCCAGGTTACCCCACTACGGTGGTCTAGTCGCTAATGTACTCGGCTGCTGACCCAAAGGTCGCGGCATTGAGTCCCGTCTGCGGTGGCTGCGTTTCTGATGGAGACGGAAATGTTGTAGGCCCTTGTGCTCAGATCGGGTGCACGTTAAAGAACACCAGGTGGTCAAAATTTCCGAAGCCCTCTACGACGTCTCGCGTAATCATATGGTGATTTGGGGACGTTAAACCTACATATCAATCAATCAATCAATCAATCAATCAATGATATATCCAGGTTGGACTGCACTGCATAATTTTCGACGAGCACACATTCCTTATAAACTACATAAAAGGATTTCAAAGGGTGTATATTTGTGATTAAGCCTAACAATGAAATTACGAAGTACACTGGCTAACTCTAAATTAAAATAATATATAAATACACTTTTCCTGCTGTTTCTCTGAAACGGGAAGAGAACCAACAAAAGAACAATAGCATATGTAGTAAAATTAAAGAATAATCTGATTCAATTTGTCTGACGTACTCCTAAAAATCCCGAGCATGTACTCCCGCATGGTCAGAAACTACAATTACTGATGGCTGTGGAGGAACTCAGTGTAGAATGCGCATCTGTGCTGCTTATGAATGCTCCTGTGAATGCGCATCCATTTACTGTTTTTACTGAACCATCAAGAATCTTCGTGTGGAAATTACATATGTTATCACAAGGGGGAATATTTAAATGTTACGACTACTTGTAACAACTGATAACATAACCCTGAGGCAACACAGTAAAGGTACTAAAAAGTGTGCATACAAGTAAATGCTCTTAGAACTTTGGCTTTTTGGAATTGTCACTGCAGAATTCTGCGGTGGAGAGCACATACTTCCCCATGGTGTATTCACAAAATAACTCAAATGCTACAATGTTGACTTGTGCTATCCCCATAGGCTGGCCAGAATAGCTTCTACAGCAAGGCTTTTATTACAGCGAAAGAAATCACAACAAGGTTGGCGTACGCCATGTTTTCTGCTACCACCGCCATCGACTATCACGCAAAATAAGAAACAACTAGGTGAATAAAAAACATCCAAAGATACAATGGGGTTCACACCCAAGTTTCCTGTGCACCAACCAAGTACTCTAACACTGAGTTATGCAGGTACTTCGATCTCTGTTTCAAACAGATCCTAGGCAGGCTTCATGTAGGGAAACAAGTCGCAATAATGTGTGTAATATCGCGCTATAGAACAACAAAGGAAACTGCCAGACGTCACACAGTGTAAAATTCATATCAAGTTGGCTGTTGAATTGTACAACCCATTACAATAGCGCTATGCTATATTCTTCATCGTCATCAGCCACATGATAAAATGTTACGCAAAGTAATTTGCATGTAACGGGTAGTGCGCTTCTTCTAACAATGACAAAGCATAACATAGAGAATGTCTTTCTACTAAACAAAAACTTTGATTTATGGCGTAGGGGTATCCTACAGGTCTGCTTCTAGTAATTACCCAAAGACTGTTAAGAAAATCCTCTGAAAGGTCGCTCTTCACGCAGCACACGCAGCACGCAAGATGCAGCTCAGTTAAAACTTTTGCTGTGACTTTTGCTGGGTCTTTCTTTTTCCTCCCTTTAAATAAATACCCACTGAAGAGTTGGATGCTTTGCACTCGGTTCGCCGGAATTTATCTATCGACAATAAATAAGCACTGACAGAAAAATTGTGTTTTTGTCGCAAAGGGTAGCTTACAAACCTGTAATCACGGCTGCAAACCTCGTTTGCACAAGGCACGATGGTTGTAGACAAGCTTTTAGAGCACCCAGTTTCAGTTTCAAAGAGCACCGAGCTAGGTAAGAGTTAGGTAGGAGGTAATCCCAGCTGGCCAAATGACTACGAAGAACCATGTCGGCACCCCATGCGAGAGCGTGCGCCACTCTGAACGTCAGCACATTCACTGCACACCAAGCACCAGACCCCGAGGGCGAAATCACCGGTAGCGCAAGCACCATGGCGTGAGCCAGCAACTAGCCACACGAACACGTGACCTAGGTTTATTTACAATGTCCCAGCAAGGCTGTTAGAGTCTAAATGGGCTCCGCATGATGGTCAATCACGCACGTGATCTTAAAGATTGGCTTTAAACAAGTTCTAGGTTATATTTTCCCTTGATATAATTTAGATGTTGTGTGTGCCACCCTATAATTCTATCTCCCTCATATCACCTGTGTCAGCGGTCCTTTAGAGGGTCTACAGAAAAGAAAAAAGAGAGATATTCACTTTATTTAAACATATCTTGAGGAGGGTAAGACAGGGCCATTCTGGCCCTTAATTCAACCTGAAGGCTCCGCCCAGGATGGCGCTGGCAGCCGAAAGCTTGTAGCGGTGTCCCGGGCCGTCTGGACTGCCTGTAGTTGCTGCTTGCGTTTGTGCTCTTGAGGGCTTCCAGCCAAGCCTCTTGGGTATTCAGTTGTGCTGCGCTTTGGGTAGGGCACAGCCAAAGTATGTGTTCGAAATCGCAATAGGGATGATTGCAAAGGCAGTAGTGCGTGGTGTGTCGGGGTGGACTCAGTGTAAGGCGGATGGTGTTATGTACGTACGTGTTTGCAAGCTTCTGAAGTTAGACCTTGTGCGTTGTTACGTTTGGGTGCGGTGCTAGGAAGGCACGTCTTTGTCCCCATAATATTAAGTGATTTTGTTGTATGTGAGTGCTTTTGCCCTGGCTGCAGAGATTCTCGTACCACTCACACGTCGAGGGGTCGTTGTCCGTGGCGCGGCGTGTGAGCTCACTCACCAGGTGGTTGACCTCATCATTGGAATTGCAGTGGTCGAGTCCCGGTAACTGTCCCATGTGGGCTGGGAACAAGATACGTAGATTTGAGCTTTCTTTTCTTTAATATGGGTTTCTCTGCTTTCGCACTCTCTTATTGCGTTGACGTTAAGTTTCCAGTGCTTCTGGCTACTAGGCAGGCCGCGAACGTTTTTGCCGCCTTGTATATTTTGTATATTGTGGAGTATGCTTGGCAGCTCTGCAAGGCAAGCGCGATCGCCATTTTCTCTGCTCATGGACATGAATTGTTTGGACGGTTGCCGCGTTTATGAGTTTTCCGTCTATATAAACGACCGCTATGGCAAACGCCTCCCTGCCGTAGTACTGGGCGGCATCTACGAATAGCGTTTTTGCCACGTTTATGAGCGCCCTCGCTCTGTCCTTCCTTCGCCCTTTGTTGAACGTTGGGTGAACGTTGGGTGAACGTTGTGGGGGATTGGATCAACCCTAGTGTCTTTCCTCACGTCATTACCAAGTTGGGTTCTTTTCTCTGGTTGAAAAATTAGGCAAATGCCTGCGTCTAGTCGGATGAGATGGCCTGCCTGCGTCAACGATAGGAATGTGATCTGTGCCACTCTTTGAGCCTCAAAAATTTCTTCGGCTCTGTTGCGCAGACCGAGTTGCTCGAGTTTCTCGTTGCTCGCGCTATTAGGCAAGCCGAGTGCCGTTTTCAGTCCCTTGCGGAGCATAGAGTCGACCTTTTTGATTTCAGCCTTCGTAAGTTTCAGAAACAAGAACACGTATACTACGTGACTTGCGGGAAAGGCGTGATACGCCTTCATGATGTTGTCTTCTAGGAGGCCTGCTCTCTTGTTGGCGATTCTAGCATTGACTCTTGCAAAGTTGTTCGTTGCTTTTTTCGAGGTGCTTGAGTGCTTCCTTGCTGTGGCCCTCCTTGGAATTAACGTTAGTCCTAGTACCTTAAACATATATACTTGCGGTATCGTTTGGTTGTTCTCAGCTTGAGCAATACTTGCTGCTCCTCTTCGTGCGAATTTCTTCGAGAGTGAAAGAGCGTAGAGTAGATTTAGTGGGGGACAATGCGAGTCCAGTTGACTTAAGAAATTCTTCGGTTGTATTCAGTGCTTGTAGAATTATTCCTTCCAAGGCACCATATGAGTGGCCACATGGGAGCCATATGGTAATATTATCCGCGTTTATGGCATGGTGCACAGATGGCATTTGAGCGAGCTTTTCCACAACCTGTGCATCGCCACATTAAATATCAATGGAGCGAGCACTGACCCTTTGGTGGTGCCGATATTTCCGAGTCGTTCGGGTTCACCGCATTGCTCTCCTATGCGTCTGGCGGCGGTTCGTTTCGCCAGAAAGGCTTTATAGTAGTTGCAGAATTTTTCGCCTAAGTTCATGTGCGAAATTTCACCCAGTATGAGTTCATGTTTATGGTGTCAGAGGCCTTGGCTAGGTCCAGGGCTAATAAGACTTTGGGCGTGTGGAGGAGCCGTAACATATGTGTTCTCTTAACATCAACATGGCATCCTGTGTGGACAGTGCTATGCCGAAGCCAATA